TGAACTTGTAGGGAAAAACTAGCATATAAATGACATAAAAGCCAAAATAATGGGGTGAAAAATCTTAATGGGGAAATGGGGAAAAAAGTGTTCCCCACCCAACAACCAGCAGCTGTACTTATTTATAAAATTAATAACATAAATGATAATGCGAGTATGCCAACTTTACCTTACCATCACCGATGACTACAGTCTGAATGTCTTCTTCTGCTCTGTCCTCCACTAAAGGAAATCTGTTTGCATGACTCTCCTGTGCATCCTGTAATTCACATCACATGGAAATGTTTTACATGTAAACACTAGACAAATAGTACTAAAAGTTTCAAATGCATATTATATACCATACCAGCACTTCATACTGTACGACCAATTTGCTATCAAGGAATATAAGCATATTGTTGTCATTAATTTAATAGAAAAATCTATCCGTCTATCTATATTCTTTTTAAAATGACTGAGGAGGCAGGATACAAGCTAGCCACCTGCAACCATTCAAGTTACAAACAATTTTAATAACACAAACTCTTACCTGAGTCTGAGTGTCGTTTTGTTTCATGTTGAGATGAGTTTCAACAGAGCTGCATGTCTTTGGCGTGTCCGGCATTAATAAGATCAACAGAGCAGTTTGACTCTGAAAAAGCTCATACCTGGACATAGTGACCACAGCTACGAGCAGTGCAAAAATGAGAAACTGTGCTCGAATATTATTTCAAAATAATATTTCGGCAAGATTTAGAAGAAAACCCTTCAAAAAAAATGTAAAACCAATTTGAATACATGCAATCAAATGATCTTAATAGTCATAATAGATCGTGAATAACAAATTCTCAATATGAAGCCAAGTCATTATATTGTAATTATACGTCAGGTATGCAAACTCACTAGAAAAGTTGCACTCTGCGCTAAACACTTCCTCTTTAGTTCATAACCATTTCAAAATAAAAGTATGCGAATATGCGCCATTGACCATTAATCGTTTTTAATGAATAAAAAATGTTCCCTGTAGAAACAGATAAACAAACTAAATAAAACTTATTATAGATAATACGATAGTTTATTATTTATAATAACCAGAGCCCTTTCTGGCTAATTTGTCAAATAAGCTTGTTTATTGTTTTTGTGTTATGCAAAATTTACTTTGAATTGCAAATGTTGAGAAACTCCTATTGACTATTTTAGGTAAATAGACCCGACCGTCCATAACATGGTCAGTTCGTGTACACTTCCGAGGCAACGTTTTCAAAATAAAAGTCATTTAACGCCAAAGACAAAAAGCTGGAGAACTTTGTATAGACTTTTTAATAATTTCTATATCAAACTGCATCGGAAAAGTCAAACTTTTGACCATTTGAGCATTTAACTGTTTAATCTGCTCTTTACTCTTTAGATCTTATCCACAGGAATAGTGAAGACTTTTGTGTTTTTCCTACAAAAAATTACAAATAAAATATAAATAACAATAAAAGAAAAATCATTGCATTCTCAGCAAACTGTTTATTCTTGAACAGAGTACACTGTACTGAGGAATTCCCACTGTATAACTATTGATTTTGTATATTAATAATTGAAAATTTGATTAATACTTATCCAGCTTTTCAAGCCAAATGTAAACACTGTGCTATTGTAAATATTTTTGTCTTAAAGACAACAGAACCTTCATGACATCCATCTGAAAACAACTGCAAATATAACAAAGAAAATGACACTGCAATTTAGTTCCCAGCATGCTTTAAGGCAGCATCTTTTTCACACAGGTATACATTTGTGATCATTGTAATTTCTACGGTATGCATATTTCTTCCCGCACTTCTGGCACGTGTAGGGTTTGACTCCAGTGTGGATTTGCATATGTGCCTTCACATGGCTGAGTTGCACAAACTTTTTCCCACACACCTCACAGCTGAACGGCCTCTCGCCAGTGTGGATCCGCTCGTGTCGCCTTAAGTTTCCAGATAAGCGAAAGCACATTCCGCACGTTGCGCACTTGTGTGGCTTTTCGCCGGAGTGAATGCGCATATGCAGTCTCAGACTGTGGGGAAGCCCGAACTGGCTTCCGCAAACAGAACATCTATACGGTTTAGCTTTGGTATGAACAACCTCGTGCATTTTCAAACCAACTTTCTGAGTAAAGGTCTTATCACAGATGTCACACTTAAACGGTGTCACCCCCGAATGAAGCTTCTCATGTTCCTTCAGCAAATACAAGCTGCTATAGCTTTTGCCACAGACTTTACACATGTACGGATCCTTTTCCGTATGAAGTCTCTGATGTATTCTGAGCATTGCGGTCGAACTGTAGCACTTTCCGCATTCATCACACGGGAAAGACTTCCCATCTTTAGATTTGCCATTCAGATTGGCTTTATCACTATGTGTGAGTAAGTGTTTCTGGAGGGCATAGTTAAAAACAAAGCTCTTCCCACATATTTCACACATAAATGACTTCAGAGCTCCATGTATTCCCATATGCCTCTTCAGAGACTTGCTCTGATAAAACTGCTTGGAACAGATTTCACAGACGTGGCGTTTCACACCGCTGTGCACGAGGAGATGCCTTCTGAGATTTGTGATGTGGCCAAACTTCTGCCCACATTTGTTACATATATGGGGTTTCTCTCCTGTATGCACGAGCTGGTGCATATTCATTTTCTTTTCAGTTTTGAAAGTCTTGTCACAGAGGCTGCATTTCCATGGTCTGTCATTGGAATGAGTGAGCAGATGGCAGGCGAGGTTGCTTGAGTGTGTAAAGTGCTTCCCGCAGATCTCACAACTGTACGGTTTTTCACCTGTATGGATCCTCTGGTGTGCCAGTAAACTTCCCTTTACGGTGAAGCTGCGTCCACATGTGGAACACAGAAACGGCTTGACTTCCAGGTGGACACGTTCGTGCATCTTAAGATTCGCGAAGGCTTTCCCACATGTTTTACAGATCCCTTTCTTCTCTGTGTGATTCAGTAGGTGTTTTCTTAATCCTTTTAAGTATTTAAACTTCTTCCCGCACTGCTCACAACCGTGAGGCCCTTTTAAATGTCCACATTTGTGCTGATCTAGTGAGCGTCTATAGAAATATTTCTTTCCGCACTCTTTACAGTCATATGGTTTTGTCTTCTTGGTTTTTTCAGATTTTGTCCTTATTTGTTCTGCTTGTGTGTTTACTTCAGCTTGCTGGTCCTCAACAGAGGCGATGGTACTGTATTCAACTGCAAAACATTAACAGGGTTCCAATTATTGAAAGCTACAAGTATGTCTAGCTGGTTTAAAAAGCCTAATGATCATTTAGAAAATTGACACAATACACTGATCAAAAGTCACAGTAAAGACATTTATAATATTACAAAAGATTTCTATTTCAAATAAATGCGGTTCATTTGAATTTTTGATTCATCAAAGAACCCTGAACAATTATTCATGCTTTCCTCAAAAGTATTAAGCAGCACAACTGTTTTCAACATTGATAAGAAATGTTTCTTGAGCAGCAAATCAGCACATTAGAATGATTCTGAAAGATTGTGTGACATTAATAATATTGTTTTACTGTATTTTTGATCAAATAAATGCATAAGAATGAAGGAAACCAATGGCCTAGAGTCTAATATTTGACTATTTAATAATGCCAAACATACTGATGTACAGTTTAAATGAATGATTGATTAATGAATAAACAAACAAACAAATAAATACATTTTTAATCAATGTATAAACTTTTTATATAGATAGTACACACAAATATCAAAGCTGTGCAGCACATACCTATAAAAAATGCTTGCACTGGGTTCTTCTCTTGTCCACTACTTGACGACTCAGGACAAAATTCTGAAACTTGACCCTCCTTTGCACACTGAGAGGAAAAAAATTAAATCAGTACGAACATTGATGCAAGCATTTTAGCAAACAACACAGAGTTGAATCTTTTCAATAATGAACTCACCTCCTGGTCTTTAACCGAATCTTGTGGTTGAACAGTTTCTTCAGGTAACGCAGTGAGCAGTTTCGGTCTCTCCAGAGACACCGATGGAGCTACAGTTGCAGAATCTGAGAGGAGAATGACATTTCTAAGATTACAGAACATTGAATGTTCTTACATATGACAATAAAATATATGCAGGATGTCTTACCAGGCACATCTCTGACAGCTTGACTGTTTTTTCTTTCTGGTTTCTTCACATGCTCCTTCAGCAACTCTTTTACATTTATTACATCATCATGATAACTTTTAAAACCCTGCAACTGAGTTGGCTTAAGCGCAAAGCAATAACTGAAGACTTTGCATATTTTTTGAACAGCCACCTTGGTAAAGGTCTCCATCACAGCTGTGAGCTTTGCCTGCAACAGATAATAACTACTGATTAATTCATCCGGACTTCTTCATAAATGTTCAGTTTTGCATAAATGTTTAGTTTTTTAACTAACAGGATTAAGCTCAACATTTCATTTAAAGAAGGAAATGGAATTACTTATTGTATTGTTAAACACAGAAAAAGTCTTGATTAAACATAACATGTGTCCTAACCTAGAAATTAAAGACTACACAGAGGAAAAACTTCAGGAACAGAAACACAACAAAATAGCTGCAGAATGAAAGTAAACGTACCAGTCTGCGTTGTTTCTCATTCATGTCCAATATCGGATCTCTGTCACTAACGTTACTAATTTCAGTGTGAGATGGGCGACATTCACGTTCAAAAACTTTCTGAATCTCGTCTAGGACTGTTTCTATCAAAAGCGTCATTATAGACATAGTCTGTTTGTGAAATAAGTCATACTCCGCCATTGTGCTCATTCATTAACTGTACTTCCTGATATATAAAGTGAGTGAATGAAGTAAGATCACAAACGATACCTGTGATACCATTTACTGTGTTAACTTCCGTTTCTGCAAAACTACGTCTTCAAACTAAAAGTCGTTTATTTTCTAGTCTGCGATAATCGCTGTGACGGTACATTCACAGTGACTTTTATTTTGAAATTCAGAATGCCGCACTTTACGGAAGTCACACTCAACCGGTAACAGTCGTGAATGACATTTGTCCAAATGGAGTATTTTCTCTTTTACGATCATGAATGAGAAATTACTTTAATTTCAACGAGATCAGCACTAAATAACTTGGATCATCTTACAAAATGTCGGAAAAGACAAACCTACAGGTATGTTTTCATTCATTCGCTATCGTTACTCAAAATTGGAGAAGTAATTTTGAGAGAGTAACTTTAATCAAAACCAAATTTAACTCGAATTTAACCATTTTTATTTTACACCACTCGTAAACCATACAGTGCAGCTCAGTTAGTTATGCGATTATGGCATAATTACTAATGTTGTTTTGGTTCAGGTCTAGTGGTTAAAAATAAGTTACTTCTGAACCGTCTTTACTCAAAAAGTTTTAGTGTAACGTAATATTCTCGCATATGAAATCTCTCTAGATGAATGGTGTTCTTTACTCCTCCCTTGTGTGTAACGGACACAGTGAATAGGCATTATTGTCTTATCTACTGAAGCCAGGACACTGGGGCGTAGTGCCTCCTTCGTCATTCTGTCCTGCTTCAGATTCTATATACATTGCTTTCTCTTCCTCTGAAGACTCCAGCTAATTTCCCTACAATGGCAGATGGGCCTTCTAAATACATTAGGGTCAGAACATAATCCAAAGTTAACATGTTAGTCTGTGATATTTGTGATGGTACTGAATTTTGCTCAAAATTCTTCTTTTACAGGATGCTGATGGCAAAGTCAGCAGGGTGATCC